TCCATCCATCCATCCATCCATCCATCCATCCATCCATCCATCATCTTCCACTTGTTTCAGAGTCAGGTCTCGGGGGCAGCACCTGCAGAGGAAACTCATTTAGAGCTCCTGGATCTTCAATCTTGTTCTTTCAGTCACAAACAGAATTTGTGATGTAGGTGAGGGTAGGAATGTAGATCCACAGGTAATCAGAGAGCTTCTCATTACAGCTCAGCTCGTACCAGAAGAGACTGCAATTCTACAGAAGTTGCACCGATATGTCTGTCAATCTCACGCTCCGTTCTTCCCTCACGCGTGAACAAAACCCCGAGATACTTGAACTCCTCCACTTGAGGGAGAACTTCAACCTCGACCCGAAAAGAGCAGTCCACCCTTTCTCGACTGAGGACCATGGCCTCAGATTTGGAGGTTTTGATTCTCCTCCCAGCAGCTTCACACTCAGCTGTGAACCGCTCCAGTGAGAGCTGAAGATCACAACAGGACCACGTCATCTGCAAAGAGCAGACATGGAATCCTGAGGCCACCGACTCCCTCCACCCCCTGACTTCATCAAGAAATCAGAATCAGGGACAACGGGCAGCCCTGGCGGAGTCCACCTCCCATCCTGAAGACTTACTGTCGACATACCAACCAAACTCTCACACTGCTTGAACCGTTCACTCTCTCACGAACTAGGGAAATTTAGAGCTACATATAATCAACATGGATGTTTTTGATCTGTGGGAGGAAACCCACATCTACACGTGCAAAAAACAACATGCAAATTCCACCAAGAAAGGTCCTGGCCAGGATTCGATCTGCAACCTTCTCTCTGAGAGGCAACAGCTCTGCACCACGTTTTGATTTATGAACAGCTAAAATAGCCCAAAGCCTGCAGATGGCGTTAGATTGGAAGAAATGTACAACAAAGTATACGCCAAGAGCATAAACGTCATCAAAACTGACAAAGATGGACAAATGTAGAAAATTAAAGCAAGGAAATGATCAAGGAAATTTAAAATTAGTACAATTTCTGGCTGTAGATGGACATTAAGACCAAAATGTATCAATTTATTTATATCCTAAGACCTGAGATCACTGTGATAAAAGTCTCTGGTTTCATCTCTTTGTCCAAAGTGAAGAGACAGAAACATTCGGACCTTTAACTCCCCGAACAAGTCTCGCTGGTTCACAACAACTGAAGCGTTTTGTTCTGCATTCATGCCACAACTAAAGTTTCTGCAGAAATCTGAGTTTAAACTCCAACCTGTCCTGGAGGAGCGGTTGTTTTCCTCCTGTTGGAGAACCTGGTTGCATTCTTCCTCGGCCTTCATGTGCTGCACCACCAGAGCGCAGTCTGGGTGGATGGCCTCCGTCTGCAAAACACCAAATCATCCGCTCAGATTAAAAACACTTATGTACACAACTCCTACCAGCCGGCTGCATTAAATACGGTCAGATGATACATTTAGAATTTTAAAAAAAAATCACATTTCTTCATTTACTGTAAATAAATGGCTATTAGTTCATATTTCTACAATCTGTTCCCACCTGGTGGTCTGTAAACTCAGATAATTCAGAGCTTGATTGTGACACAAGTTTTATTTCTGCAGGTTTATAAATCAAGTCGGTTTTGAACAAAAGCAAGATAGTAGTGGGACTTTCTCTTCTCAGGCCATAAACTGAGATATTTTATTGTTTAGTGCAGAGATTCTGGAGTATCTCTCATCATGAGGTCTGACAGATGTTTTAATAGCATCTACAGATGTTGGAGACAGAAGGGAAGGACTTGGACTGCTATCTGAGCGTGCACTTTAATTATTGTTACCTAAATGGAAACATTTTTTCAAACTCAATTATTAATTGAATGGGGTCATTATCGCAGGGCGTCGGTCCCCTCAGGCCATGCAGCAGTAATACCCCCCCCCCCCCCCCCAATCATTTACGTCCAATACTTCACGGTGATGAAAAGGATAAGTTATTGTGAGGTGTCTGACGTCACGACCGAGCCCCGTGTTTCACTCCGTTAATGATTTCAATTTGACTTTACGGCTGGAACAAATCACTCGTTCCATCGCCGCTCAGAGAAAAATGGCTTCCGTTTCAGTAAGACGTTTGACTTAGAGGGAGGCATTTGAACTGTGTGAATGTTTCAACACAAGTTGATAAGCCGAAATTAGCTCGAAGGCTCAGAAATGTGGAAGACAGCTGCTCCGCCCGTATCCAAAGGTAATAAAGCTCACGGACATGAGCAAGAGGCGGCAGAGAAGAAACACCTGAAACACAAAAACGTTGGTTACATCATGACCAAAGCTGCAGGAGTATAAAGCGATGGGGTAATGAACACAGGCTGTGGTGACTTGGTGGTCAGTGCCATGGTCTGGTGATCCTGTGGCTGTGGGTTTGAGCCCAGGTTGGGTGAGGAGGGACACAAAGCAATTATCAAATCAACTATGGCGACCTTTGCAGAAGGCGGCAGCAAGAGGAGCAACAAATTGACCTGGAGCCCTTTTTATAAACTCAGAACAGCCATGTTGGTGAGAAACCTCTGCATTCAAGTGACGAGCCACTCCAGTTGTTTTAGTCTGGACTCCCCAAATCCAGTTCAAACAGGAAGCAGATTGGGTCTGGTTCAGATTCACACATCGTCATTAGTCTTTCTGCAACACTCGATGCTGCTGGGTCCAATTCAGTCAGTCAGTTTGTCTTTCCGTTGCTTCCTTCTTCACAGCGAACGAGCTCCCACGAGAGATTTGTCCACTGTTCTACACCAGCTGTCCCTCCTGATGTAACCTGGACTCAAACCTGCAGCCTCGGGATTACGAGACAGTGGCACTGACCACTGATCTGCCGCAGCCCCAACGTTCAGTGCTTATTTTTATCGCCCAACGCCATGAAAAATGGAAAATTATATAATTGTCCAGGTGTTGTTGTGTTTTTTTTGTCTGTTAGCAAAATATCATGAACCATAAAATGGATTTTAATTTTGGAAACTGCAGTCGAATTATTATTTGATGTTCCTCCACAGCATCCAGACTCTAAATGAATTACGCAAGTGTGGTGCTGCTGGGCGGGATGTAAAGGAAACATCCATCCATCCATCATCTTTATCCACTTCTTTCTTTGCAGGTCACAGGGGTCACTGGTGCCCACGTCCAGCAGACACTGGGCGAGAGAGGGGGTACACCTGGACAGGTCTCCAAGTTCAAGTTCAAAAATCTTTATTATCCCCGAGGGTCAGTTTGTTTCACAGTCAGTAGGCACAAAACATCCATAGTGCACAAGACAATGAGACGTTAAAATAACAGAAATCATCCTTGTTCGTTGAGAAGACTGATCACTACAGGGATGAATGAGTTTTCAGTCTGTTCCTCTTATATCTGGGCAACAGATACCTGCGTCCAGATGGAGGCAACCTGAACTCACCATGGAGTGGTGATCAGAATCTGCCAGAGTCAGCCTGACCTTGTTCACTGACCTCTCTTTGTGTAGGTCAGTGCTGTTCTGCTGCACATCTTGACAATCCCTGAGTTTGTTCCTGTTCTTACACGTCAAAAGTCCAAACCAACAGATGAAGGTGAAAGTTAAAAGAGACTCAATAAAACATTCTCATAAAACTAGAATCAACATTAAAACCACAGAGCTTCCGATAAAAATACATTCTCTGATGGGCCTTCTTGCAACGTGAGTTCACATGGGTGGGGTTCAAAGGTCAGTTTGTCATCAAGAACAGTTCCCAGGTATTTATACTGATGCACCACCTCAACAGCTTCACAGTTTAATGACCACAGGAGCTGCAACTGAAGCGCCTTTTCTAAAATCAATGACCACAGAGAGAGACACCTGGACAGGTCTCCAGTCCATCACAGGGACACATAGAGACAAACGAGACAAACAACCATTCACTCTCTCACTCACCTAGGGACAATTTAGAGTTAATCATCCTAACGTGCATGTTTTTGGTCTGTGGGAGGAAACCGGAGCACCCGGAGAAAACCCACGCATGCACAGAGAGAACATGCAAACTCCACTCAGAAAGGCCCCTGGCCGGGGTTTGAACCAAGGACCTTCTCGCTGAGAGGAAACAGCTCTACCGTGCCACTGTGCCAACTAAACAAAACATTTTCATTTTAAATCAAATCCCTGCACTAAAATACTTTAAAGTGTCTCTTTTAGGACACGTTTACTGGTTTCAACCCTGATTAGAGTTGGAACTGTGACCATAAAAAAGAATCAAAAGATGAACTTTCTTAAAATGTTGTTACACTTGTTCTTCTTTTTGTCTCTCCCGTGACTTTATTCCATTCTGGCCAATTATGCAAACTAGGCGATGATGTCATTTAGCGACCTCTGGGGCAGCTAATTGCTCTTTTCCTCATCGAAGCGTTGGCAACGCTGACGCAAACGGGAGGAGGACGTGCAAACTGCTCACAGAACGACCGCAGGTCAGATCTGGGGATTGAACCCACGGCCTTCTTGCTGTGAGGCAGCAGTGCTAACCACTGAGATGGCTGTCACAGCTTAATCAACATTAGCCAACAGAAAAGTGAACTCAGTTTTGGTGTGGTAGTAGCTGAGAGTCAATCACAACACGTCAGTCTGAAGGTGATAGATTGACATATTGAATATATTCTGGTATTTTTTCCTCTTTTTATTTGTTTGGAGCACAACAGGTGACATATAATAAAGCAGCCCATCTGCGAGGCCGGCGCTCCAGAGATCAACTGGTTGCCCTTCAGCTGAAAGGTCGCCGCTTCGATCCTCGGTGTCCCCAAACATGGTGTGGAAGTGGGCGAAGCATCGCCTCCGCTTCTGATCTTAGACTAAACCAACCCGACAGATTATTTTTTAATTTCCTCGTAATTTGTCCCAAAAATCATCACGAGAAGTGCGCCGTCAGGATGTAGAGATAAATCTTTTTTTATGTTAGCCTCTCTGCACCGACTACCTCTGGCCTTTCGAGTTGATTTGAAGGTTCTGCGGTTCGTTTCGAGGGAAGAGGACGAGGCAGGACTCGCCTCGGGGCCGCACACAGAAGGCTGTGGGTAATTTGATGTCAGGGTTCAAAAGCTTTAGAAGACTTCAGGAGGAGAAACCTCTCAGTCTGACTACACACACGTATAAACGTATACACGTGCACGGCAAACTCAATTTTCTTTTTTCACTCTGGAGGATTTCACGGAAGTGCTTCCTTTTCATTCCTGTTTCATTCTTCTAATCCTCTCAAAGAAAAATATCAAAGGTGTGGACTTTAGATGAAATTCTGGAAGGATCTCGTCTTTTTAAACGTCAAAATATTAGCGAAAGGTTTGGAATAGAAACTTAGTGAATGTGTGACCGCTTTCAGAAGGGACTAAAGAGCGTCAGTGAAAGCTTTCAGAAAGTATAACGGCAGAATATTCTTCAGCCTGAATTATCTGCGTTGTCTTTTCAAAGAAGAGGCAGAAAATATTAATGATGTCTCTGCAGCGTCTGATGTTCACGGAGCCAGAACGAATGTTCCTCCTTTGTGTTTGTCTTCATTTGTTTAATGAGCGGTCCATGAACTAAGTGTTGTTTTATTTGTGGGCGCTCAGGTGTGAACACCAGAAAGATTTCTCATATAAAAGATGTCAAAAATCAAATAAATCCTTTGATTCCATGAGAAATCAGACCCAAATGTAAAAAGACCCTGGAGACATCAAGGAAAGGAACTCATGATTCAAATTCAAATTCAAAAATACTTTATTAATCCCAGAGGGAAATTATTTGTTGTTGTAACTCATTATCTTCATTTCATTGAGATGTTATAGATACTGATGCTGTAGACAGGAAGGATCTCTTGTAAAGGTCCATCCCACAGTGGATCCTAAGAAACTGGCTGCAGATGCCGTGTGATCCGTCCACCCAGACCCGGCTGGCCTCTCAGTTCCCTCGGGCTGTAGGACCGTCCGAATGCTGGGCAGAACTCCTCCCAGAGCGATGGCCACTCCTCCCAGCAGTCTGCCGAGCTCCTCGTCGCTGCGGACAGCAAACTGTAGGCGCAGAGGGACGATCCTGTCCTTCTGCTGTCATGAGCCGTGTTTCCTGCTAGTTCCAGGATCTCAGTGGTCAGACACTCGAGCACAGCTGGCAGGTAGATGAGAATGCATCCACAGAGCCTCCTTTTCAACTCATTAGAGATTTGGAGCTGTAGTTGAGATATTATTTGAGCTTTTGAGATGTTAATCAGCTGCTGTTGGTTGTAGAAAACTGCCTTGTTGCCATGATTACGCATCATAACAAATGTCCAAAACTATAAAAGTTTCAGTAAAATCCTTCCAGCTGCTCAGCATCTGATACCAGAGGAAACAATCGTCCAAAAATATGTGATTTACATCCAGAAAAAGTGGAATTAAAGTTTCCAAAAGCAAAATCTCAGAATGAAAGTAGCAGAGCTGCTCCAACATGCAGCCACCTTGAGCGGCACAATTCTAGAACAAGATAAATGTATGTAAATGTTCTGAAAGTTTGTTTCATATACACCTTTTGGAATAATAAAACACTTTAAAATCCTTCAACTGCAACGCTAGTTCGATTCTCTTTACAAAAGATACAGTCGTCCGTCTGTTTTTCACTCTAAAATCAAAATTTAGCTTTTTTAAAGAGTTGATTTAATTCACTTCAGTTCAGTTCATTTCTAAAGCTCCAAGTCACATCAGAAGTCGTCTCAGGGACTGAACAGAAACATTCATGTATAAAATAATAATTGAACATTATTTATCTGAGGAGCAGCTTTGAGTTTAGCTCCATCGCTGAACTCTCATCTTGAGCATGAAGGCGACAGTGGAAAGAAATCTCCCTCATGAGGAAGAAACCTTTAGCAGAACCAGGATCAGGACAAGAGGACCATCTGTTTCGACCGGCTGGGTTTGGTAGGAATAGATACACAATGGCAGGTTAAGAATCACATGTTAAGATAGAAATAGTATCAAATGAAAACTAACTTTAGAAAATTATTTAAGGAAATTTGGTAATTTTGTCCTCTAGTGGTCTAAGCTTAAGACATGACAATTTAGGATTGCTAAAAAATATTTGTACTTTAATTCAGGCGGAAAGGCTCCGGTAAAATGTGTTTTCAGTAAACTGATGGAAACTGCAATGAGTTGTGGGAAGTGTATGTTCTCCACTGTAAAGCCCTTTCCGTTCAACACTTTATAGATCCAAGGTTAAAAATGTAAAGAATGACACGTTTTCTTGTTTCTGAGGGACAAACATTTACAAAGATGAAGGAAACAAATAATTTATAATTCCTGTTGGAGTTTCACCTAAAACTCACACAAAAGCTGTAACAGTACTGCAAATGAAAATTTAGTATGGAACTATAAACTACATACAGTACTGACATTGTACATTAAATACTAATACTGTAACTTATAGCACAGTATTGGTACTGTAAATTACCAGTAAATAAGGTATAAACACTGTACCTTGTATTACAGTACCGATATTGTGACTTATAATACACTATTGATACAGTAACTTATAGCAAAGTATTGATATCCAAATACTTTGTCATACAACACAAATACTGTAAATTACATGTAGTGCAAAGACGGTTCCTTACAAATATTGAAAGTAAATATTGAAAGATGTAAAATAAATACTGTACTTCTATCCTACAATAGATAAAGTATGTATACTGTACTTTTTAATACAGTATTGATACTGTAAAATAAAAAGAGAACTAATACTAATACTTATAATACAGAACTGATACTGTAAATGTTTTATAGCACTAATACTGTAATTTAAGAACAGTACTGACACTGTAACTTAAAACATTAACATTGATACTTTAATGAATAACAGTATTAATACTGCAACCTATTTTACAGTACTGATGCTGTAAATAAAATACAGTACTGGTATGATAAATCACAATACAGCAATGATACTCTGAATGAAATACAGTACATTATCATACAATACTGATAATATATTAAGTAATACTGTAACTTTTACTTCAATACTGATATTGTACAATTATAAAGTACTGGTACTGTGATTATATTTACAGTCACTATATATGGTCACTGTAAACTTTACAGCAAACATTTTACAGCGTATAAGTTTAATCCTCTTATCTCTTATGAATTAGGGAAACGTGTTTTTGTAAATAAGTACTTCTTCAGTAAAATATTCATGTCTATGATGTCAATGCTGAATGGACGAACTGTCGATCAGATAAACAGAAAAACAGTTTTCTCCCTGAAATGAAAACGATCAGGTCTGTCAGCACTTTATGCTTCATCCCTTTAGTTATAACCCGATACAAAGCCAATTTTATTCTTTGATCCAAAAATATGCAAAGGGACAAAAAGGCTAAGAAAATAATATCCAGGAAAAAGGTAAACTTGTAATCTGTTTCTTTAATATTCTAAAAATAACATATATGACGTATTATTTTCAGGTTTTTACAAAAATAAATTGTGAATTTATTTGTCTTGTCTCCTTTTAGAAGCTGTTCATGTTGAAAATAAATGATTCGGTCACAGTTTGATGTTTGTGCAGATGAGCAGAAATATTTTCTCTGAATTATTCCATATAAAAAGTCTGCTGGCTCTCGGTGTCACGTGCACTCACCTTGTCCCAGAGCGCGAGCTGCAGGACCAGAATCAGGGGAAGGAAGGAGTCCATCCTTTTGGACCAGCAGCTTCCAGGGAGCAGAAACATTTTTTTTACAGTTTAAAAAACTTCATGCAGAAACAACAAGGTGTCCGAAGATGGAACCTTCCGGGCAGAGCTGAATCTAAACCAGTTTCTCTGTGAAATTTCAGCCTCTGGCGACAGTCCCTGAAGAGTTCGGCTCGACTGGAGCAGGGGTCCGTCCGTGGGGGAGCTGGCAGGGGTCTCTCTGGTGTCCGGTGGCGCGTGAAGATGTCCGCATGACGCGCGACGGAGAGCCAAGGCTCAACTGAGCTGGAGGTGCGTTTGTCTCTGAATGGGAGGACTGGAGAGGAGGAGGAGGAAGAGGAGGAGGAGGAGGGCTCTACTGCTGCAGGAGTGTTGGAAATTAACTGAAGGATGAAGAATGTCTCAGGTCCTAGATTGGGTCTTTGAGGGACTTATTTCCTCTGTAACTTTAAAGATAATAATTGCAAAGTTTAACATCAAACATAAAAAGGTTACCTTGATCAGGGTCAACCAAAGTTATTTGAAAGAGTTTACTCCGGTAGTTTCCCAGATATCATTAATATGCTTTCTGAAACGCGGGTCCACACTCAATGTAAACAATACAATTTTATCTGCATACTTTACCAAAACTAAAGGTAAAAAAAAGAAAACTAATCAAAACTGTCAAACTTCTCCAAACACCTCTTCCATGGGAGTTACAGGTGTTGACTTATTTTTATTAGCTTCGGCTGTTTTCAGTAGGTAAACAACCCCTCCGGCTGTTTTCAGTAGGTAAACAAACACGTGTTATACGACAAACACAAATTATACAACCTTGTAATTTACCTATCAATGTGAGAAAAAGCTGTACACATTTTTATTTATTTATTTTTGGTTCATTTCTTTGAAATGATCTTTAAATTCTTTTTTTTGTTTTTTGCTGTTTTAAGCGTTTTTTTTTTTTTTTTTTTTCTTCAGAGGTTTAAGAAGTCAAGACTGGACTTAAAAATGTATAAAAAAAAAACCATGATGCCCCCCCCCCCCAACACACACACACACACAAGTAAAATAAAAACCCACTTTGAAAGTCTGTCATAAATCCTGGAAAAACTTTTGCCCAGTGGAAGAAAACTGTAAACCCAGTGTCCCACTGGACTTCAACAGGAGGATGTTTACAAAAAGTCTCCACGAGGTTCTTGAGTTCCACGAGGTTCTTGAGTTCCTCGAGGTTCTTGAGTTCCTCGAGGTTCTTGAGTTCCTCGAGGTTCTTGAGTTCCACGAGGTTCTTGAGTTCCTCGAGTCGCAGGAATTCTCACTCGAATCTGACACAGGGTCGTCGCAACGTCTCGGACTCAGTTCACCGATGACTTTGAGAGGGTTTGGAGACCCAACTTGTGACTGATTAGAGACAGTAAAGAGAAGAAATTGGGATAAAATTGAAACATACACTTCCTGTCAAAAAAAATAAAAAACAGTCACACTCAATATTTTGTTGAACCGCCTTCAGCGTTTATTAGAGCATCATTCTCTGTGGCTGCGTTCCCACAATCTTCTGTGACGGGAGATTCGGACCACAGCTCAAAGACTGACGTGCCGGTTCCGGTCTGGACTCTGAACCACTCTTTCACAATCTGAGCCCGATGAATCCTGGCGCTGCCATCTTGGAACATGGCCGTGCCATCAGGGAAGATGGAAGAACCAGGAGGGTTTCCAGTTTTTCTCCTGCAGCTTTTCCTACACCTGAGGACACCAACAAGATCACGCCTGAGGAGCTGCAGGAGTACATAAGGCGGAAGATGACTTCAGTCTGACGCTGGCGCATTATCTGTGTTCCTGGCCTTCATATTATTCCTCGTGTATTGTGAAGACAAATCTCCACTTCTCTGTGTTGTAACTCTGACTCCTGCGTTCCTCCTGGGCCTTGGACCTCCCTGGTTTCTCCTGAGCCTCCTCGTGATCTCTCCAGCCATTCCTTGCTGTTCACCACTTGTCCACTGGATGAACCTTAACTTCTTCTTTCCACGCTTCTAGGACCTTTTGCGACAACTTTGCCTACCAGCAGTTAGAGGAACACTGACCATCCAACCATCCCCCAGGGTAAAGCCTCCAACGAACTCTGTTCCTTGCTCTCGGGGGCTCCAGTCTCGCCCTGCTGATCCTTCACACTGTTGATATATTTTCACTTGTTGTACATAAACAGTTAAACTTGCTCCTTGGTCTTGGAGTTCTTGGTTATCTGGGTACTGAGCAAAACCTTAAAGAACCTGCTCATTCAGAATCGTCAGATGACCTCTTTCTTTGGGCCCATAACGCTGCTGAACCTAGACCAGACCCACTGCAGCAACGCCAGGTCATAGACTGCCCCCACAGGCTGTACAGCAGACGCTAGGCATGATGGGAGCATTCACTCTGATGTTCACCCCCCGCTGTCCTTCCAGTGTTTAATGATGCCTCGGACAGTTCTTAACCTGATTTGAGTCGTTTCCTCAACCTCCTCAGATGTTTTCTCTGCTTGGTGCCATTAATTTGACCCTCGTGAAGCAGATGAACATCATTTCCACGACCACAGGACGTGTCTTTCCACAGGGTTGTTGAATAAATGAAAAGCTTCTCTCTGCATCAGTTCGGGTAAAAAAAAAAAAAACTTGCTGAAACAGAAGCACTCGTGCAGTCATTATTCAATGGGAGCCTCTCACCTGTTTGCTTCCTTTTATTTAAACTAAATTTCAATAATTAATTTTGCACGTCATTTGCCGGAGCATTACATGAACGTTGCTGTTTACTTTTAGTTGCATGATTGTGCAAACATGCCCAAGTATCTAAGAGAAAATTTCCAAATTTTCGGGCAATTTTTGTGTCTCTCACTCGTCCCCAGCACCCGCTCAGCGAGATGAAGAGCTTATGGGTGACTCTGGTCCTCAGGGTCTCTGCTTCAAACAGCTTGATGTGAGCAGGTTCTGAAGAAGCCTTACTGAGCCGCTCGTATAAATTAGGTTCTGACCAGAGGACCACGGCCATCAATTCAAGCAAGAAGTCTTTGTGCACACTGAAAAATGTTTCTTTACATAATCCAGATTTTATTTTAGAGTTTCCAACGAACATCTGATGAAGGGACCAAGTCGCTTCAGGACTCATCCAGACGTCCCAAACGCTCACGACAAGAATGAAATGAAAAAATGAAGCACGTGGCTGAAAGAAAGAGGCTTTCATCTGGAGGGAAAAAAGAATTATTCAACATGAAGATCTCCATCTCTGCGGTCATATAGGAGTATGGGAACGTGCCGCTTGGTTTAATATTCGACCCAAACGTCAGGACTCATCGTCAGCACAAACAGAACCGTAATGAAGGAGGACAACTTCTATTAGGCTGAAAAACTTGAGCCGCTCTGGACCTTCAGAGGAGACGGCAGTCAGAAACAAACTAAATGGTAAAGAGTTTGTAAATAAAACAGATGTGAATCTCATCTGGACTCAGTGGAGGAAGATGAAGAGGAATCACAGAAGAGGAGCGATCGCTGGAAATAGTTCAAAAGTGTTAATAGCGTCTCTAAAACTGTTTTTTTATTGACACTCCCAGCTCAAATAAACTGCTAATCAAATGAGAACTCACCATAAAACATAATTCCTGTGAAATTGCTTTTTTTTTTTTTTTAAATGCATTGATTCAATTTGAGATCTTATTATTGTCAAATTCTGTGCAAAATATCAAAGCCACAAATCTGAGAACGTGTCATTGAACTTGCTCTATGAGTTTTATAAACCAGGGGTTTCCAAACTTTTCCATTAGCATTAGCTTCTGGCTGAAATCCCACAAAGCAAACCCACAAACAGTGCTAAAAGATATGTAAAGAAACATCAACGTTGAGAGTGTTTTAACTTTTATTTAATTAATTACTACAGCTGCTGAGCATAAGAATATTAACTAACATGTTTTAACCTCTGGATTATATTCCCACTGAAAAAAACAACTTTCCAACAAACTGCTGACCAGAAGAACAAACCAAAATAAATCTCACCTCTCTCAAGTGTGTTTTTCTGGAAATGACAGATACAGATTGCCCTAGTGTGCATTTTTTATTATTATTACTATTATCACTTCACCACTTGCTCTTGCCGAGGTCGGACACTTTTCCCCTCCTCTCCCTCTCCGCTTTGCTTTGCTGCTCTGTCTTGTCTGTGAAACTGCTTCTGAGCCTCTCTTGCATTTCTTCAGAACCATAATTATGGACTTGGATTTGTCAGCTGGTCCCTCAACACAAATGATAACATTTCTTCGAAGACAAGACAGGCTTTAGGCGAGCCGATTTGCCCTGTTGGCACGCAGCTGGATATCTCATCGACTTGGAAGACTTGATGATGCGTCTATCTCTGCGGCCATTTGTGGATATTAAGGATGCATGTATAATTGGATTTATGATAACTGGTTCCTGCTTTGTGGATTTGGCTGGTTCCTGGTCTATCAACAATCAAGGAAGTCGTCGGCAGCAAATTTGGACCCGATCACGCTGCTTGCCTTATGATGGCTTGGATGGTGCCTCGAGTTCCCAGACTCAAATGCTTTTGACAGATTGGATCAGATCTTGGGAATTATTCTCAGGCATGGTCCATTGCTGTGGCCATATAATTTGAACATTTGGGAACCAAGTGCATCAACACAGACTAGGTGCCATTAAAGTTCTGCCTGTCCCCAAAACAATTGTGTGCTTGGCTCCCTTGGCTTATCAGAACTCGTACAGTGTCCTCGAGAGCATCCTTGGACATGCTCACCGCTCTTGTCATCTTACCCCCTTTGCGGAATGTCTATGTCACCATGTGCTTGTTTGTGCGAGGTGTTTTTTCCAATATCAGTTCTTGGGAATTTTTCACCTCCAATTCCTACATGTGTCCAGTTTCACTACTTTTTGTCTGAACAGATCTCACTTGTAAATTAGTCTTCTAGGCTCAATGTGACTTATCTGTCTAAATAAAGGTTGAATTGAATTGAATTTTTTATTTTAGCTTTTTAAAATCCTTTTCTGTCCAGC